GTATAAATAAGTATTTATATTTGTGTACAAGCTGTTTAGATTGTCAAAAAGCCTGTGTTTTTAGGGGTTTTAACAAAGTTTGTGTACTCAGACCAGTAATATTTGGGGTCACAAGTTTTTGCCATGGATAGTTTGTGGGTCAGAAGATAAAAAGTTTGGGAACCACTGGGCTAAAGTAACAAAATGCTAAATAAAAGCTAAAGTAGCAAAACACTTCCTACAATTAGCAAAACACAACCTGAGTACTGGAGTAGCAAAATGTTATCAAAAAAATGTAAAAACGGTAAAATGATTGCTAAAGGTTATTACAACAGACAAACAAAAAGCTAAAACTAACAAAACACCACCAAAAACCCCACAAGAAACTAGCAACAAAGAGAAAATGCTTTTATTTTCGAAGCGCCTGACAGGAAGTACGACTCATTTCTGTCTGACTTGACGTCACGTGCCGTGGCGTCATCCTTCTAGCAGCGGTTTGGTCTCGCAGGGGTGTGGCAGCCAGACTCCACGTCTATTTTAACTCGTCCGCATCGAGAAACGAGCCGAGGACAGGACGCAGCCATGGCGCAAGGCCTTAAAGAAAGATTTGACAAGTTTCTCCATGAGAAGAACCTGATGACAGACGCTCTCGGTAAAATCGAGGCCAAAACGGGAGTGAACAGGACGTACATCGCTGCGGGTGAGTTCTTACAGAGCCAGGGATGGAGAGAAAGGCTAAAATTAAAACGGCTTCATCACGGCTACAGGAAGAGAATTTTAGCTGTACATGTGAAGGAATAGTTCAGACTCAAACAACTATGTGCCTAATTTTGTATCATTTGTTACTGTTTTTGTTGAATATCGGGTGATAAAGTGTCGCTCTTTGTTTCCAGGTGTCGTAGGTTTCATCGCAGTTTATCTGGTGATTGGGTACGGAGCCTCCCTGCTGTGTAACCTCATCGGCTTCCTTTACCCAGCATACATTTCGTAAGTGTGTTATTAAAACACAGGGGCTGCTCTCACTTAGCAGCCACACACAAACACATGTCAATAAAGACTTTTCTTACCACACATGTTCATTTATAGACACTGTGTCCTCGCTATATGTAGGCTAGAAGATTTTAAAAAAATAAATAAAACACTAAATGATCAATTGCATAATAAGCTGGTTTTAATTTTGATTTGACACATAAGGTATGCGAACAAAAAGTAGGAAGTTACTGCGTTGTAAAAATTCAAAATGTTGTAACATCCAACTTCCTGAATTTCTATTGAACATTGTGAAAAGTTGTCACAAGTATTGATAGAACAGAGGAGCCCAAAGTGGGGCCCGCGGGCCAAATTTGGCCCGCCAAGCCATTTGATTTGGCCCACCTACAGTTGCCAAAGTTACAAGGTTGTAACCTGTTATCCTATGTAGAAACACAGTATTTCCATTGGTCAAATGACTTTGTATAAAAGGGCTGTAGTGAAGGTAGTTTTCTTTCATGGTGCTGACTTTATCTTTGATTTATTAGGATTAAACATGAAATATGAAATGACAAGAAATATTTAGATCAGATTTAACCCCACATGTAGATTTTCACACTTTATAAGGCCATAAAAACTCATATTTTATCAGTTTATGAAATGTTCCATGAGCATTTGCTACTTGAGTGTATGGCAGACTTTCTCCAAGTGCACAGACTAAAACAAAAGAGGGCCATTGCATAGCTTGATTGTTAAAAATAAAGGACTTTACTTTAAAAAAATTTGTATTTCATGTAWTTATATTACTGCACTTGGCCCGCAGCTGTGGATAGATTTTCATTTTGGCCCCCTCGGGGAAAATGTTTGGGCACCCCTGTGATAGAATTTCTGCGTATTTTTAGAGATTTGCCACATTTACTTTTGGGACATTATCTCTAAATGTTCAAAATGTTAGTATCTTTGTCATTAAAATAATAATGTTAACATAATGGCAGTGGATATTTAGCCTCCAGTAGGCATCAGCATGCAGGATGTGAGGAATAAAGCAGATATTTTGTTTGTGTCTGCAGTATTCTGATCCTAAAACTCGGCCATGTAAACAGGATTTTTTCATTTAATAAAAATGATTGAATGAATTGCTTTATTGTCTTGTCACAGGAAACTTGTATACTTTTCATTGCCTTGAAAAAGTGTGTTTTTTTATTTTATTTTACCAGTTTTACTAAATAGATTATACTTCCTTCAGCTTTGTCTTTCTGTCTGCCACAGTCGGGTGCATTACTTGTTCATATCCTCATTGTGCAGCAAGACTATCCACAGTTTCACTTATCAAAGAAACACCACTGACTGTACATAGTATAATAAGAAATAACAAAAAAAAAGACAAAATAAACAAGTAAATTTCGCACTAAAGGTACGTTATTTAGTGTAAAATATTGGTTTGGTAGAATATTTATTTGTTGTAACAATGCTTTTTTAACAATAAATCTAATGATTAGCAGCACCTGGAGGCACCAGAATCTCAAAACAAGTGTCAGTAGCAACGGCAAAATGAGGATTTGGCTAACTGTTCATGTGACCAGCCCACATACTCATCCCACAATCCTTACAAATGTGGCACCTTTTAACAGGGAAATTAAGACTTTCCAACAGTGTAAGATTTATTGCCAAGAAGCGTTACAACAAAGAAATAATCGACCAAACATAAATTTCATAACTTTTTGTTCTATGTTTTTGTAAAGAATGAATAAAAATGCTGAAACATGCATTTCTACTGCGTTAAAAGTCAAATGCAAATGAGTTTTGAGATGAGGTCAACAATGCGAGTTTGAGCATAATCTGTAGGGGCTGTTTAGTTTTAGGGGTCCAACATGAAAGGTTTGATTACCTCAACAGATCAACCTGGACCTCGGGGTAACCAGTAAATGATCACTGGACCTAAGAGATCTGATTAGCTTTATTGATCCCTTGGGACAATTCCTTTATCTGTCACATAAAATAAAATCCCCAAAACAAACAAGGAACCAAGCTTAGAGGAGGTGTTTTCAAACTTTCTTGTTTGAGTTAAAAGACGAGCATTCTGGACCAACTGCAGCCAAAAGATGATGTCATGGTTAACTTCAACATGCAGACTTACAATAACTCAGTTTGGATGTGATAAAATGAGGATCAGCTTTTTGTAGTTGTTGAAAGAGAAAACTACTACTTAATCTGAGATACAATGAAAGCATCAGTTTTTTAAATCTTTACCACCAAACTAATTGGTTTCTAAAAATTGACATTTCAATCAAATATCACACCCAAACCTGTGTGATGTTAACAAAGACCTACCCAGATCTATAGACGATGCTGTAGGTCCAAAAATCAGTTTTTTCTTCATTGAAACTGACAAAGTTTAAAACCAAGCTTAACGTGCCTGTGACATGCATATTCTTCAAATACAAAAGTCAAAGAAAACATATATTTAAAAAAACTTGACACTACACATACTTTTACCCATTTTGTCCCATAACTGTCAGGTTTTCTTTTGAACTTGGCTCAGCCAAAGTGAAACGGGAAGTGACATCAAAGGGGAACTCTTTAAGAAAGAGAACTCTCGGGTCTTTGTTTATTAAAACAATATTATTTGTATCTTCTCTTACAGATAACTAGGGCTGTGTATTTGCAAGAATTTGGCGATACGATACATGTCATGACAGAGGGGTCATGATATGATATATCCCGATATATTACGATACTGTAAACAAGGCGATATATTGCAATTTTTTTGTCAAAAAATTCTATTAAATAAAAACCTCTTGCCGAAAAAAAAAAACGAAAGACCTAAATTCATTGTCTCAGAAAATTCTAATATTACATTGACATACTTTTGATACATTTCACAATACACGATAATAAATTATTAATAATAATAATAATAATAATAATTTCACGATACAAGTTCAGTAAACAGATGATATGAAGCTGCTACACAGAGTTTCTGGGATCAGCTGACCTGCATCCAGAACCTGATTTGCAGAACTGTGGGTCGAACAGCAGGGCAGGTCCCGAAAATAAACAGTAAATAAATGGAGAAGCTAAACAACACAGTTAAACCGTTTTTGAAGCGAACACAGCAGGATAAACTTGAAGTATATGGACTTTGATGCAATCAGCTGGACATTGAGAGCAACAGACAGTTTTATGTCACGGGGGGAGTGCCGAGCTCAAGACGCTATATGCATGCGCTATACATGCCTGCCTGCCTGCCTTCTGTAACGTTGGAAAAAAGAGCGCACACAACACTTAATTTGGCTTAAAATACAGACATTCTGACAAATAAGTAACTGTTTGTAACCTTACCTCAGCTTAGAAGGCAGAGGGTGTCGGTCTTTTCCTCTCAGATTCAGCTATCGGAGCATGAAGCTAATGTTTATTCACAATGCTAATGCTACCCTTGCTCTCTGGCGCTCGAGGTAGAGGAGCCAAATGGCTTGCTCACTGCTGCCAACTAGTGGTCAGAGGCTGAACTACAACATAAAAATGAATGGCTGGCTGGAAAGTTGACATTTTCAACCTTAATAAAAAATCAATACAGGGCTTTAGAATATCGATACAGTATCGGGACATGAAATATCACGATATTTGAGTGTATCGATATTTTTTTACACCCCTACAGATACCGTCTGAAAATAATCTAAAGAAACATCAGATTCTCCTACAGAGTCTGTGGTGTTAGTTATTGTAGTGATCTCCGTTCACATTCAAACATTCCCCTTTGTCATCACTTCCTGTTACCTAAAATATGAATATCTCAACCACTGTTCATCTCAGCAGCATGAAAACTGTTTTGCAATATGTTAGCAATGTTATCTTTCCAAAAATTAATATATTATTAATTAGGGGTGTAAAAAATATCGATACACTGAAATATTGCGATATTTCATTTCCCGATACTGTATCGATATTCTAAAGCCCTGTATTGATTTTTTATTAAGGTTGAAAATGTCAACTTTCCAGCCAGCCATTCATTTT